ATTAATGACGAAGTATTAATTTGCACTCCACAGAGTAGGATTGTAGAAGGTTTTAATCCAAGGTAGCAGTGGAAATGGCGCTGTTAATATAGCTAGCAGCCCTAGAATCTACCTAAATAGCGCCCACATACACATCCGATGTGGAGAATCCGGGGTAAACTACCCCACGGGGAGCCAATGGAGAATCTGTTGATGCACGTGTCTGTACGCATATGGTTTGGTGCAAGGCTGCCCTCCGGCCCTAACAAGCCACACCGGTGGCCGGTGGCCGGTGGCCGGTCTTTTCCCCTGCTGGCGCTCCGGTGCATTTCCCACTCGTCGCCGAGTGAGCAGCCGCGCACAAACCAATGGAGAGGCTGCGTCAGCAAGATGAACGTATATAAACTCGCATTCAGGTGCATTGGCTCTACTAAACAGTCTACAGATCTCTTTGCTGTCGGTTTTCTCTAATTCATTATTATCTAATGGTACAACGGGCACACTATATCATCTTGCATCCATTCAGACTTCATCATGGCCATACCGAAGGAAACACTATCCCTAAATGACGGATGGAAATACACTGCAAGCAACGACTTAGAAGCTGCTGATGTGGAAAATTGGCACAATGCCCAGCCATTGCCCACATCAATCCACCTTGATCTACTTGCCAATGGCTCCATCCCAGATCCCTTTTCCGCGAAGAATGAGCAGCTTGTGCAATGGGCAGGCAAGAAGACTTGGATCTATGAGAAACAATTCACCGTTCCCTCACAGCTGCTCAGAAATCTCACTCGCATGGTGGTTTTGGTCTTTGAAGGTCTGGATACATACACGACCGTCACGCTGAATGGCACAATTATTCTGGAAACCAACAATATGTTTCTCAGTCATCGGGTCGATATCACAGAGCAAGTTCGTTCTGCTCAGACGGCACAAAACGAGACGCATACTCTGCGAATAGTCTTTCACAACGCCGACCAGAAGGCAATGGAGGAAATGGAGAAGCACCCAGAGCAGAGTTGGTTCAGTTTTCATTTTGGAAACAAGCGCCTAGCTGTGAGGAAGGCACAGTACCATTTCGTATGTATTGATGGACTTGTACCCCTGCATTTCATTCATTGTTTAAGAAGCATCACTGACCAAAGCTAGGGCTGGGACTGGGGTCCTGTGTTGACGGACTGCGGACCGTGGAAGCAGATTAATCTCGAGATATATCAGACACGACTTACCGATATCTCAATTCGGACACATCTCGATACTGATCATAGAGAAGCCGTAGTTGATGTGTCGGTCGAGATGGAAGGATTGGCAGACTATGCAAGAATCAGCATTGAAAGAGACGGCTTGACTGTTGAATCGCGCGTCATATCTCTCACTGATAAAAAAACCACAACTGCGATACGAATACGCAATCCGAAGCTATGGTGGCCATGGAGTCTCGGCGAACCAAACCTTTACACTGCTAAAGTCACATTGTTCAACGGTTGTGACAGCTCTGTGGAAGAGCTGGATTCTCTCAGGAAGAGATTCGGTATTCGCAAGATTGAACTCGTGCAGCAACCATTGCGCGATCAAGAGGGATCCAGCTTCTTCTTTCGGGTTAATGGTGTTCCCATCTTCGCTGCTGGGTCGTGTTGGGTACCGCTGGATTCCTTTCTAGCCCGTGCGACACCAGGGAAATACAGGCGTTGGGTACAACTCGCCAAAGACACTAATCAGGTCATGATTCGCATCTGGGGTGGAGGCATATACGAACACGATGCGTTTTTCGACGCATGCGACGACCTGGGTGTCCTGGTTTGGCATGATTTCATGTTCGCGTGTGGCGTATATCCGGCATATTCCTCTTTCGAGGAGAGCGTAATTGCCGAAGTACGTCAGAATGTTACGCGTTTGCGACACCATCCCTCGATCGCCGTCTGGTGTGGAAACAATGAGGACTACGCGATCGCATACTTGGCCCAGATACACGTGGGTAAAGCGGACTATGACCCAGCGGAAATGGACCCCGACAAAATCAAGCAATCCGGGTTTCCGGCACGATTATTTTACGAGGTTCGCTTGCCAGAGGTCTGCAAGGAGTTGATACCTGACATTTCGTACTGGCCGGGCTCTCCATTTGGAGGATCATTCTGCAACGCACCAACGGAAGGCGATGTACATCAGTGGCAAGTTTGGCATCTTGATAAATTTCCTTATCAGGATTATCCGCAACTTGGCGGCCGGATGGTCACGGAGTTTGGCCTGCAATCAATCC